AATTTAAATTTTCAAACTTTTAAAGTGTGAAATTTAAATTTTTTATAGTTTTAAAGTTTGAACTTTGAATTTAAATTTTCAAACTTTTAAAGTGTGAAATTTAAATTTTTTATAGTTTTAAAGTTTGAACTTTGAATTTAAATTTTCAAACTTTTAAAGTGTGAAATTTAAATTTTTTATAGTTTTAAAGTTTGAACTTTGAATTTAAATTTTCAAACTTTTAAAGTGTGAAATTTAAATTTTTTATAGTTTTAAAGTTTGAACTTTGAATTTAAATTTTCAAACTTTTAAAGTGTGAAATTTAAATTTTTTATAGTTTTAAAGTTTGAACTTTGAATTTAAATTTTCAAACTTTTAAAGTGTGAAAGTTTGTATTTAAAACTTTAAAAGTATAAATTTTTTTGCTTCTAATAAAATTATAATAGTTTTAATACTATTTGTGTAATGTTCCTAATTTTTTAATTTTAATAAAAAAAAATTTAAATTATAACAATTGGGACCCGGTTTCCGGTCCGGTCCGGTCCGGTACCAATCCGTTACCGGTCCGGGACGGGTACACTGATTTTTTTCCGGAATTACCGGTTCCGGTCCGTCCCAGTTCCAGTTCGGTTCCGTCCCGTGGTGGCCGATTCCGTTCGGGTTCCGGTCCGTCCCGATCCGGTAGTCCCGATTCCGGTCCGTCCCGATTCCGGTCCGTCCCGATCCGGTAGTCCCGGTTCCGGTCCCGTTGCCAGCCTTAGATGGGGCTGAAAACTGAAAATAAAGGTCGTAGAACTCAAAAGAAGGTTATAAATAAATATTTTATGAAATTTATATTTGTATACATCTTATTGAAAGGTTGATGAGTTCATTAGTTGTATTCATATGTATTACAGGAAGACGTCACGAAAAGAGTTTGAGGGTTGTTTGATTTACAATTTTTTATATAGTGAAATACTTATATATTTGGATACTTGTATTGTATTATATCCACTTGTCAATTTTTTTGGATTGTCCCGGTGTATTGAAATATTAACACTAATTGAAAGGTTGACCATGTAATACAAGTATATTTTGATACATAATTACATTATTTTTGTATAAACAAATACTTGAGTCATCAATTTTATTTATATATATATATAATTGTAAAAAAATAGTAAACATGAGAAAAAAAGATTGAGTTTTGTCAGCGTTTCAATTTTTTATACAGTCAAATATTTATATACTTGAATACTCACATGTATTATTTTCCATTTTCTTATTTCTGAATTGTCCACTGTATCTAAATTTTGTTTAATAATAACATGGGCACTCCTATATGATATAGGTGTGTATTCATAAGGTAAAATTAG